CTTTTTGACCCAACCTCCCAATTAATGATATCTTAAAAAATTCACAACTCCACCAATTTTAATCGTATGAACTTGTAAAGTATACCAATCAATTCAGAATGACGAAATTCACTGAAGAAGATATGAGCGCTGCTCTTCAGATGGTTTCAGAAGGAGTTTCCATAAACAAAGCTGCAACGGCTTGTGGCATCAACCGTTCAACGCTCCAAGATAGAATTAAAGGTGCCACAACACCAAGACAAGCTCATGAACCTGAACAAAAGCTCTCAGCTATTCAGGAAAGAAGATTACGAGACTGGATTATGGTCCAAGCTGACCTAGGGTGCCCTGTTTCGCACCAACAGGTCCGACACTTTGCAAACCAGATCGCAATACGCAACGGCTTCCCAGAAGGCGTCGGAAAACGCTGGTTACAGTCTTTTATGGACAGGAACAAAGAAGTGAAGACTTTACCGGGCAAGAGTATGGATTCTGACCGTTATAACGGAGCTTCTACTGAACTTATCAAGGCCTTCTTCATGTTATTGTCGATGCCGGCAGTTCGAATAGTCAAGCAGAAGAACAGATACAACGTCGACGAAGTTGGAATGATGGAAGGGATAGGACTGAACGGTTTATTCCTTGGTTGCAAGGACAAGAAGTCAGTACTTATTCGTCAGCCTGGTTCAAGGTCTTGGATCACAATTCTCGAGTGTATCTCGGCAACGGGGAAAGTCCTGAGACCTTTGGTGATCTTCAAAGGGAAAACGGTCCAACAACAACATTTTCCTGAGAAATTGGACTTCCTGGAAGACTGGGAATTCACCTGCAGTGAGAAGGGCTGGACAAATAATCATATTGCGTTGATTTGGCTGAAAACGGTGTTTATTCCGTCGACAAAGCCCGAGAATCCAAAAGAACCGCGTCTTCTAATTCTCGACGGTCACGGAAGTCATATGACTGAAGACTTCTTGTTTGAGTGTTATAATAATAACATATTCGTGCTTTTCCTTCCAGCACATGCTTCTCATGTCCTACAGCCGCTGGATGTTGCAGTCTTTGGACCGTTGAAGAGGGCATATCGAAAATTCCTCTCAGATCTTGCTTCTGTCGCAGATTCCAGTCATATCGGCAAGATCACCTTCCTATACACTTACGACAAAGCTCGGAAAGAAGCTATCACGAAGTTGAACGCCCTAGCCGGCTGGAAAGCAACCGGACTGTGGCCAGTTAATCTGGCGAAGGTCCTGATAAACCCGATGGTCACTCAGCCTCCTAAGACACCAGCTCCCGTTGTTACAGCTATTTCCCCGGCCAAAGGAAAGAATTCCCGTCTTCTTATGACGCCCCGATCATCTGTACAGCTTCGTCGGGCCCTACAAGCTGTCCCGGGCGTTATCTCTGAAGACCCTGCTGTTAGGCTGCTTTTCCGTAAGATTGGCAGTCAATTAGACAGTCATAACTTTGAGATTGAACGCCAAAGAAGAGAAATCACGATAATGCAATTAGAAAAGGAGGAATATCTGCCGAAAAAGAGGAAGAAAGTCATATATAATGGAAATGCCGAGTTCGCAAAGGTTCCAGCAATTTTAAAAGCTCGTGAACAGATGCGAAAAGTATTACAGCCACAAAGAACATCATATCGCATTAAAAAATTAAAACTCGAGGATCTTTGTACTCAGTTCCATCTGAATATTCACTGATAGATATTTTATTTAATATAAAAAATGTGGTGGTGTGTTTTTAATTGAGTTACAATTGCGATCTCATTTTTGGTGTTTTGCTGAGGGTGGCCGGTTTCTGGGGGTGGCCGGTTTCCCCGTATCCGACGTTAGTCCATAATAGATCTTGAAGGAGAATATGGCGCCATATTCCTGCCAAATACGAGTTTGCTTTAATCTTCGCTTGACTCTGATAAAAGCTAGCAATACCGACAAATGCTACCAAGCGATCGGACTCAAATGTCAGCGAGCGTGACATGTATTCTTGCAGTAAAGTATGCCACACGAGCTGAAGACTCTCCTCACTTTGGCTTTCCATCGAATATATGGTCCCCGGAGCCATTGTATGGATGTATTCCCGATGAACGTCAAAGTCAAAGCCTTCGCATGTCTCGTTTGCGGCAAAACCTCCAGAGGTCATATCTGAGGCTGAGGTCCACCAGAGCTGGTCTCGAGCGACGTGGATGGTCCTTGGCGATAGGATCCATTCTTGGAAGACCCATCCCCTACGAAACAGGGGCTGGGCAAGAACTGCGTCGCAGAAAGCAGATCTGTTCACGATCCTCACAGGCACAGGTGGAATCTGATTCTCAAACCCTGTCCAAGACGGAATGATCTCACAAGGATGCTTCAGCATTGAATGTTGTTCTCTGAGGCCGGCTGCAGAATCTTGGGCAGCAGTAGCGGAGATTGTGACATAGGCCAGGGAGTAAACAGAAGCCATGTGTGTAGCTTCGGTCTGCCAATCATCCTTGGAATCTTGAATGATACAGAGCGAGTCAATCCAAATGTACTCAACTTCCAGCGCATTGGCCAATCTGATGGCGTCTTGAAATGTCGGTGGGATCGTATCGAAAGGGATGTTCTTAAAGAATGTATCTCTCAAAGACTCCAACAACATGAGTGGTTGTACTGCGCCCCAGCGATGGCTGAGGGCGATGTAACGAATAGATACGTCAAAACCGATCGTATTGACTAGTTTAACTGTAGGATCCCCTCCTGGCTTAGCTGATGGTTGGCAGTGAAGCAGCCTTGTTGGCAGCCGAGGAGTCAATCTTGATATCGTTGGTGACGAACTAAGCCAATTTTTTATTCGTAGCAACGATTCTTGGCGATCGTACTTGGGTTTCCATATGAATCGGTTATCTCCTTTTGAAGTGTCTGGTCGCATTAGAATAGTTTGTGTCGAAAAGACAGATCTAGTACTTACCGACAGTTAAAAAGGCCTGGTATATTTGAAAAGTATGGCCCTGCCACTTCTGTCCACTCCAAGTGACATACAGAAAGCCAAGAGTGAACATGCCAGAAAATGTTCCCGGCTTTGGCTTGATGATGGGGATTCCAATTATATTCTTCCCCATTTCCTTCATCTCTTTCAGTCTCTGAGGCATGGCCGCTGGTTGTTTATCCGACTGTATCCTCTCCGACATAATAGCACATAGACTACACTTGGCCGCATTTTTGGCCAGGTCATGGAGGCTGTGATGGAAATATGGTGTTGGTTTATCTTGTCCTGTTGCGTATTCCAGTCTGACTCTCCATTCAGTCACGTCTTTTGTGAAGCCAGGAATTCCAAAATCAGTGTCCTTAACATCAACCAAGTCTTTCTCGGCCAGCACATTTGTTGGGGCATAATGCCCCTGAAAGATACCAGAACATGCTTTGCAAAAGTTCGAGGACATGGCGCAGTGTACAAATCAGTGACAAATATGAGGAGCTGTTATTTCAGTTCAAGTCGAGATGAGATGAGGTAAAAAGCAGGGAATGTCGACTTGAGCGCTTATAGGGAGCATGATGAGGCCTGCCGGGCGGCTGCAGGCTGCAGGTTGTTGGCCTGAGCCTAGACCAGGGTCATCATCTAGCATCTCTGAGCAGTCCATATTTGATATCCGCGAAGGAAGCCGATTTATAAGAAGTGATGGATTGCCGAGGAAATTAACATTTGCGGATTAGGTTCCGTTGACGTCGTCAATACTGAAGAATTCTGGGCGGGAGGTATGGATGTCTCGGTCATGGGCAGCTAATTTGTTAGGCGTCGGGAGCGCTAAGTTTAATTAACCCGCGAAACCTCGACAGTGAAAACTGCAACACCACGATTATTGACGTCTTTCTCTACCAGCTTTTCTATGAATGCTTTTGTTTTTACTCAATCCCATCATGTATCACTAAGCAAGGCTATCTTGTTACTTTGTTTCTTTGAAAGCGCATCCACTTTCACTAAAGAGACTGTCAAGGAGACACGGCATTATGGACAAATTCCTTCAGAAAACACAAGCGCGAGCAACGCGTTCAAGTGCAATCAATGCATCGCAAAAATTCTTATCCCAGTTGGAGCCTGAAGATGATAAGACTTCCGTAACTAAGAAGTGCGCGGCTAAGCGCCCTTCACCTTCTCACGACGAAGACTTTGACGCGTCTGAGAGAGACGCGACGCCAGAAAACGATGTCAAGCTGCCTGTAACAAAGCGACGGAAAACGCAGCCCGCAAGAGGCAAAAATGCAAACTCCAAGATTCATGAGACTTTGTTCTCATCTGAAGGGGAGACATGCCAAAACCCATGCACCCCTCCGTCAAGGCATCATCCTCTCTCATATCACCGACCCCTATTGCTCAAAGAGTCTTCCTCTCGCCAGGCACTTCTCAGCTGGTTCGACGGTGTGAGTACCAAGCGTTCGATGCCATGGCGCAAGGCCTGGATAAATCCAAAGGATCATGGTCAGACAGAACTTCGCAACCTCCTGGAACGACGAGCGTATGAGGTCTGGATCAGCGAGATCATGCTGCAGCAGACGCGAGTTGCTGTGGTCATAGACTACTGGAACAGATGGATGGGAAAGTGGCCCACGATCCACGATCTCGCTGCTGCAAGTGCCGATGATGTTCTCAGTGCCTGGCGTGGCTTGGGATACTACAGCAGAGCAACAAGAATTCACGAGGCGGCAAAGCTTGTGGTGAATGATTCGACTATGGAAGGACTGTTGCCTTCCTACACTCAAGATCTCGAGGCAAAGGTTCCTGGTGTTGGGCGATACACTGCCGGTGCCATTTCAGCCATTGTCTTTGGGCGAGCTGCGCCGATGGTTGATGGAAACGTTTTACGCGTGTTGAGCCGACAACTTGGGCTATTCGGCAACGTGAAGACCAACAAAGTCGTGATCGATACACTATGGGCCGCTGCCGATGCTTTGGTCAAAGCTATTGCGCGGGATGGGGCTGATGCTCAAAACGACGAAGAAGTCGAAACAAGCGATCGCCCTGGACGATGGGGACAAGCACTCATGGAATTGGGAAGCACAATCTGCATACCCAAGCCAAACTGCTCCGAGTGCCCCATTACTTCGACCTGCCGTGCCTACGCCGAAGGACAAACCTTGATCCCAAGCAAAGGCCGTGATAAAAAGATTGGGGACATCGAAGATTTGTGCGACCTCTGCGAGCCCTTTGAAGAATCAACGGCTTTAGATGAGCCAGAGGTCAAGGTGGAAGCCAAGACCTCCAAAAAGGCCAAGGCAAATGGAGGGCAAGGCAAGCAGATGACCTTGGCCGCATTTGCCTTCAAGGGGCCACCTCGAGATAAGAAGCCTTCGGCAAAAGCGGAAACGGGCCCAAGTCCTCGCGACATGGAGGTTATTGTCGATCACGCACGCAAATTCCCACTCAAAGTCATCAAAAAGGCAGTCAGAGAAGAAGAGACATTGGTCTGCGTGATTCGCCGCGGTGACGGGCAATATCTGATCCAGAAACGTCCAGAGAAGGGACTTCTCGCTGGTCTATGGGAATTTCCCAGCTATATCCTCGAAGACCCGAAAGATGGTAACACGCCGGCAAAGCGAAGATCGAAGGCATTGTCATACGTTTCCAAGCTGCCAGGTGAGCACGGAGGCAAAGCAGTGAAACCTAAACATGTGGAAGAACTTGGCAGTGTACCGTGGCTCTTCTCTCATTTGAAGCTTACGATGCATGTCCACTTGTTCGCCCTTGAAGATGGCGATCTGAATGACACAGAGTCGCTTACTTCAAGTCGACTGAGATGGGCGACTCCTGAAGGTGTTGATGAAGAGTCCATGGGTACTGGGATGCGCAAGTGCTGGACACTTGCTAAGGATCAAGACTAATGAACAATATCAGTTGTATAATTATAGCGAGTGTATTTTTAGATGCATGTTACAGTCAGTCATGGCGCACAACTAGGTGTTGGAATAGAATAAGCTGGAGCTGTAGGAAGTAGTGGAATATATTATTAGCTCCACAATTGTACTTCTCAGCCTATCATATCGAAAAATCTCTCAGCGCCTCACTATCGACTGTAGGTCCTTAGATCTCCTCAGCTTTCCATTCATCTTGTGGTTTAAACTCATGGTATCTCATCATGAGTCCTCCGGGTATGGTCACGTGTGTCTGCCGACAACAGGCGTCCCTTAAGTGGAAATCGCCGCGTTGGTAAAATGTGGGGACGCGTCGAGGTTGCATCAGCCCAAGTACATCTCTACTTCAATCGTTATACACACCCTTAGAGTCAAAAGACGAGTCAACAGAAATGTCATTCAGTTTGTATATAAAACAATGACAAGTTGGCTTGCTTCTGGTCGCCCGGCTCTTTTTGATGCCATCAACAATGCGTGTGATTTGATTGATCAGCAGATCGCATCAGGTACGTCATTAACTTAACGACACGGCATGAATGAGATGGTTAACACGCTTTAGATCTTGAAAAAGCCCAGAAGGAACTTAATGAAGCTCTTCAGCAGCGAGATGATTACGCGTCTAGAGCGTCTGAGTTGGCGGATGAAAATGCAAGATTAAAGCAACAGCTCCAGCAAGCAACAACCAAGACAGCAGAGAACGCACAGGCATCAGCCCGGCGAAAATCACCAGAGAGCAAAACACCAGAAAATGAACCAGACTGGAAGCTCGAGTGTGCTAAAGTTAGCCACAAGTTTAAGGCACTTTCGGCAAACTTCAAACAGGCAAAGGATGCCTTACGAAAAAGAAAAGAGGAGCGGGATCGATGGATTAATCATGCGACAATGCTGGAAAAAAGGATCAAGGCAGCTGAGGATGAGCATCGAATCAGCATTACAGATCGTCAAAACAGAAGCTCTCGAGCAACCACGCTCCCTGCGGCAAGGACAGAAGATGCTGCTCCCAGTCCCGGTACCAGTTTCACTTCGGAGGCTGGCCTCGAGCAAGCGGATCTGGAACTCCCACCTCTAGCCGCGGCATCTCTCCATGCTGACAACAATCAACCTGTTCCCGACACAAAAGCCGCCAACCCTAGCTCAGATTCTACACAAAGCGAGGGGGAGTCGAGGCACCACGAGGAGGATCTACCGGAGCTACCGGAGCTACCGCTTCAGGGCTATGTTAGCGAAGTGAAAATCAAGCAAGAACCGACATCCGACACACCAGTTGTTGTGTCAGAAAGAGAGGTGCGCAAGAGGAAACGCAACGATGCAGATCCCAATGAATCGCCATTACAAAAGGTGAAAGTTGAGCCCAATGAGCGATCCTCGAGCCCCATACAACCGTTAGGGCCTGCTACTCTCCTCGCACAAGAAAGTATAGACTTAGGAGACGTTGCACAAAGATTGTTGACGCCCAGGAAACGGCGTGAGCTAGAAGAGACACAAAAGTTGGAACAAATGCATAGGGAAGCATTTGCTACAGCCACGACCCCCAAACCTCTATTCGTTCGACCAGATCATGTACCTCAGACGGCTCGGCCAATCGAGCGAACCTCAGCACTCACGCCGCTGAGTGTAAATCGAAGGGTGGTGCAGTCAACTCGAGAAAAACCAGACACTCCCCTCAGAAAGGGGCTGGGACGTGGTATCTCGACTTTGGCTGAAGATGGCGAGGCCTACAGAAAGGACAAGGATGCAAATACAACTCCTAGGGGGAGACTTGATACACTGTTGAACAGTCCTGCCGCCCAGAACTCACCTGCTGGTCGACTTACCCCCAGAACGGCAGCAAGACCAAGCACAACTGCGGAAGACCTTGCAATTCCAGGACGGCGAGTATTGCCGTTCGAACAAGGGAGTCGAGCTAGAGACAGAACTCACGCGCAACAGCTTGATACTCCGAGTCGAACTACAGATCTAGGCGCTGCCTCCAAGTTTACACGCCAGAATACGCGGTCTCCTTTGGGCTCCAAGGAAGGGACCCTGCGACGCAAACCAATATCAGAACTACGCCCTGACGACTTCAAAATCAACCCTCGAGCCAATGAGGGTCACGATTTTGCTTTTTCTGATGTGGTGCGCGATAAAAACGAGAGGTCTCGCATGCAAGGCTGTACCGATCTGCACTGTTGCGGGAAGGATTGGCGGGCCCTTGCTCTATCTGAACGTCCAAATTCCCCTTTGACAGCTGCCCAGCGACAAGAGGAACAGAAGTTGCTGGAGGAGTATCTGGGTGATTTTGCATACCGCTTGGGAACCATGGGCAAGAAGGAAAGAGATGAGTTGTGGGTTGAGGCCAAGACACAGGAGCTTGCCAATAGATATGGGACGCACCGATTCCACTACTCAAGAATGCGAAGTCCTCCGGGCTTTTGGAACGCAGACTTTCCGAACACGCAGGAGTTGGAGCAAGAGAGATCAGAGGCTGCTCAGCGAGAAAGGCAGACGGTCCGGGACAGACACCGGGAGGCTATGCGCCCCGGAGGTAGATGGCTGTTCCGCGATGAGTAGATTTGGAAGAATGGGCATCATTGCATTGTAAGGATATTAAGCGTATATCTTTTGTCTTTGTGGGAGTTCAGGTATCAAGGTTACAGGATGGGATATGAAGCATTGGTACAGGTACAAGAAGTAAACTGGATCATAATTGAATATCTTGCCGCTTATCCGTTATCATCATGGCTTGTGTTGTGTTGTAGTTTCAATCCAGCGATCTTAGCCAGGATGTTGATATTGGAGAGCGATGCCGGGGCTTGGCCTTGAATGAGTGGATCCGAGTCCCCTCGTTTAGAGTCGGTTTTCTGCCTCAGACAGCAACATTTGCCCCCAATCAATGAACCTTGTGCTTTCAGTTACTGGCTCGTGCAGTGCTGCTGTCGTGCGTGCGTTGCGGCTCGAGTTTGTCAGTGCTCATAGGTCATAGCCATAGCCATACCAGCCGCTGCAGAAGCCCGCGCCTTGGATAATTTTATTCCACACTGGACGGACTGACCTCCGTTTTACGCTACCGCTACCTTACCTCACCTACCATCGCAACGCAACGTCAAGCGTCCCCCGTTTTGTCCGACGCAACTCGGCAAATCCTCTCTCTCAGTGCGTCTACTCTTCGGCTTCGACTGCGCTCATTGAAACAAGTCATTCAATTTTATTTCGGATTTCTTTGCTGCGTTTCGTTTTCCATCCTTTGTTTGTGCGGCTTTATTGGCTTGAGTCTGCCGCCTTTGTTCACCCGTGCCGACTTGACAAATCCACCCGTCAACTTACTTTTTTGCGGCCAACGTTTGGCCGCCCACAGCTCGTGTCGCGTCGCGAACGCCCTGGCCGTATCGATCCGAGAAGCTTCGTCAAACTGAAGCCCGCCGCATACGAATCCTGCACCGTCCGCGAGAGGAGGCTCACACGCTGTCTACACGGGTGTCGCATCAACTGGGCGACTCCCGTCCTCACTCAATCCCCAAGCCGGCACGATGAGTAACCGCCATCTGCCGGCTGGGCAGAATATACAGGGAGGAGCTCACGGCGCCGATATGGTCGGCGGTCCTGGAGCGCCTCGTCGGAGGCAGCCTCCTCCCTATGTTCCGTACCAGCAACATCACCAGCACATGAACGTCATGTATCCTAACAACTACATGGCCTACAACCAGCAGTACTATGGGTATCAGCCACACTACCAGGGTCAGCACTACCAGAACGCACAGTATCCGAACGTGCAGTATCAAGGCGGACAGTATCAGGCTGGACAGTATCAGAATGGGCAATATCAGAATGGTCAATACCAAACCGCACAGTATCAAAATGCTGGAATGCATTCTCCTGGATATGTGCCTTACCAGAACTTCGCACGATCACCACCTGCTATGCCTCAGTACATTCCCATGTCTGGCGTGAGCGTTCCTCCGAGCTATACTCCTCGACCAGCTCAGCAACAGTCACCTGCTTTGTCGAATCCCTACCAACCTCCGGCTGCGGCTCCAATCCCGCCCCAGACTCCCACCTCCACCCACTCGTCGCAGATGATTCCTCCCCCGACTCCCCCGGTCCCCCAGGAGACTGAGCTAGTTCCTCCCGGTCCTGCTGCGCCTGCCGAGCCTGCGGAACCTACTCAAGTGCCTTCGCCTCCTCCCGCTCCCAAGGAACCCTTCCGTGCACCTGTAAGTTGTTCGACCGATAGCGAATCTTACTCAAACTAACCCTATCAGCTACCATGGTCATCTCACCCCGATTTTAAGTTCCCTGCCAGGGCCACAAAGTCGAGGAGACGGAGGAGGCAACTCAATGCTGACAGTGAAGCTTTATCTTTACCAGTTGAGCAGCAACAAGCGGCCACAGAGCATGCCAATGCTCCTGAAGCTAATGTCACCCAGCATTCGGATGCAGTTCTCACCCCCGCGTCCTCGGCTGCTCCCTCTGAGACTGCCGAAATAAAGGCTGCTGATTCTCCCGTTTCTCCTGTCCAGCAACGATCACGCACCAACACTGCCACCAGCGCTACCTCGACCGCGACGAACCGCGCTGCCGCTCGCTCCTCCGCCGTCCCTGCCCCAGCTATTCCTTCTCTCCCTAAGGCCAGTCCTAAGGAGGCTAAGCCTGTGCGTGCTGAAAAGCCGGCAAACGGCGATGTAGCCCCTGAGACTGCTCCTGAGGGATCGACGAAATCTGAAGCCCTCGAGAAGGGAGCCCCTGAGAAGCCTGCTGAGCCTGAGCCCGCCCCCGAACCTGCCCCAGCAGTTAAGGCTGCCCCCGCAAACTGGGCGGACCTTTTGAGGAAGCCTGCTGCTGCTGCTGCTCCTGGAAAATCGAATGCGGTTAATGGTACTGCCTCTCCTAGTACTCCGGTCAACGGCCATAGTACTGATGGTGTTGTTGGAGCCACCAACGGCTCTGCCTCCAGCTTTTCTAAAGCCAACGCAAGCTCTGTTGCGGAGGCTATTCACTCGTTCCACGTTGGTCTTGCCGACCAGGTTTCTTTCCTCGAGCCTCGCGGCCTGATCAACACCGGGAACATGTGTTATATGAACTCTGTATGTCTGAATGCCCTCTTTGGTCCCACTACTAAGCTAATCAATGCCAGGTATTGCAAGTTTTGATGTTTTGTCTTCCCTTCTATGATTTCCTAAGCCAGATCAGCAAGCGTGCTGTTCACAGCTTCAAGAGTGATACTCCTCTTATCGATGCCATGTAAGTTGTGCATCCATGCTAAGTTCTATGACTCAACACACTGACAAACTTTTCAAGGATTATGTTTATGCATGAATTCAAGACCATCAAGTCCGCTGCTGGCATTGAGTCTCTGCGAACCACCCTCAAGAATGAGGAATTGGAGCGCTATGGTGATCCCTTCACACCTGAATTCGTTTACGAAGCTATCAGGCAGCTTCCAAGATTCGCCAGTATGAGGGTAAGTTGTTCCTGACCACTTGCAACATTCACGAACTTTTGCTGACTGGTTACAGCGAGGTCATCAGCAAGATGCTGAGGAATTCCTCGGCTTCCTGTTGCAATCTCTTGATGACGAGTGTACTGCAGTCCTCAAGAACTCCACACTACCTGATCAAGAACGCAGGGCCAGTTCTGGGTCAGGTGCTGGTGAAGACTGGCTTGAAGTTGGCAGAAAGCAAAAAGCCGCCGTCTCTCGATCCTCCGGACCTAACTCTTTCAGCCCCATCTCGAGGATTTTCGGTGGTTCATTAAGGTCAGAGTTCCGTGTACCAGGCTTGAAGGACTCTATCACCACTGAGCCTTATCAGCCCCTTCAGCTGGATATTGGATCTCCTGATGTGCGCAATGTTGTAGACGCTCTACGAGGTCTTACTCGTCCCGAGCGTCTTCAGGGAGACTTCAACTCACCTCGTGGCAAGGATGTCACGGCCACCAAGCAAGTTTTCATTGACACACTACCTCCCGTCCTCATACTGCATCTCAAGCGCTTCCAATTTGATGCAGAAGGCAATGGGACTGTCAAAATTTGGAAGAAGATCGGCTACCCCTTGGAGCTTGAGATTCCTCGTGAAGCTTTGTCGCGGCAGAAACGCCAGACGTACGGTGACGACGGCATGCCCAAGTACAGGTTGATCAGCGTAGTATACCACCATGGAAAGAACGCCAGCGGTGGGCATTATACTGTTGATGTTCGGCGTCAAGAAGGACGCGAGTGGATTCGCATCGACGACACCGTCATTCGCAGGGTCCGAAGTGAAGATGTTGCCGAGGGCGGCGAGGAGGAAGAGGTCAAAGACAACCGCAAGGACGGTCAATCATCTGGTTCTGCTGGAAACCGATTCAGAGCGGTTCTCGACGAGGATGCTGGCGATGATGACGGCTGGAGCAAGGTCACAAGCCCTGCCGGAGGAGCGAAGAAATGGAGCAGCGTTGCCAACGGTACTAGTAACGGCAGTACCAAGGCCAAGCAGGTCAAGGACAACATCAAGGACAACAAGGTCGCCTACCTGCTCTTCTACCAGCGAGTGTAAGGATTTAATCACCTTTACCTATTCACTATCTATCACACTCACTATGCCGCCATGTTGAGCATTGATCATGGAGGGCGTTATGTTACGACTTAACACGAGCTTAACGGCCATATTTGGATGGGAAAAGCAGCATTTTCAGACGGAGTCGCATGTTGGGGGGTGAAAAACTAGGGAAAAGCTGCATGTCGGAGATATTCAGTATCCAGCTTGATGCTCGGCGTATGGCGTCGAGGAAGGGATACCTACGGATTGGACTGGGAAAGAGGAGGCGCCGGTGAGATGATGCCTGTGAAAGGCTGATCGGCCAGCGTACATGGGATCCGAGTAAGAAGCTTGGGACCTTTGGATGAAGCGGTATATCAGCATCTTCTGTTAGAGTTCCTTGGACAGCGACATAAGAGCTGCCTGGAGATGAACTTCTCGCGAGGTAATTCCCAGCGGGTACATTGTAAATTACAAAATTGTGCATGAGACAGTTTTATAAAATATTCACATGCGTACAAAGGTTTGGGAGTCATGACGATATGTGCAAAATGAGTCAAGTCAGACGACGTCTATACATAGGATACACGGGAACTGTCTAGTCCGTTGAGGCGTGGCCACCATTCTTCTAGGAGGCGCCAATTCCCTCTCGATCACCGTCCTGCTACTACTTAACCTCCCCCTTCTGATCTCCCAACCCGAGACCCAAAAATGATTTAGTGCTTTCGGACGACGGCAATGGAGTCGAGCTCGTTCTTCTCGGCCTTCTCGGAGGCGACCTCCTCCATCAGGGGCTGGAGGTAAGGCTTGTCCTGTAGAGCGTGATGAGTTAGTCGATGATATTCTATCCATTCGTGATATCTCGGGATCGTCAACTCTTGTTTGCCGAGGAGGGGCCGGCAGAGAGATTCGGTCGCAGGGTGTCCTTCATACCATGGCGGTGGTGATCCACTGGTCCTTGGGGAGGAGCTTGTGCTGGTAACTGCACTGAACAGCACGTCGGATGCGGTAGATGCGCTCATAAGACTCAACGTTGGAGAGACGCTTAAGGGCCTGCTGGGCAACTTCGTTCTCCTCCTCGAGGAGATCATCGTATCTATATCAACCAATTGAGGACTCCGGTCAGCCAGAAATGTCCCCAAGTATCGCCAATTCCAACATTTCGAGGTCCAATTGGCGTTCGCAGAGGGAGGGAGATCGCATACTTGAGGCCCAGCTGGCGGTAGCCGGCGGCGTTGACGTACCAGGTAGCGGCGGGCTTGAAGAGGCGGGCGAGCCACGGCCTACGGAGGATGAAGGGGGCGAGCGAGTACTTCATTTTGGAGGAGAATCGATTGACACGTTCCGAGGCTGGGGGTTGGAATTCGTGGTTGTCGTCGTCGTCGTTTCGTCGGAAATGGCGCGAATTGGGGATGGGCTGAGCGAGCAATTGCAAAACTTCCTGGGAGAGCTCGGGACGTCACGTGGTCTTGATGACCATTCCTTTGTCGTTGGCTGGCTTACAAGGTTCCGATCGGGCAGAAGGACCCCAAAAAATCGATGACTAAGGATACATGTGGCGTTTGAGATTAGATTGTAGTATGTGGCGCAGGCTGTGGCGGGTGCTGCACATGGCATGGAGAATGACGATGTGGGGGTCCCCTGAGATGTCCCTGTCCCGTGGGAAACCGGTTCGGGACGAAACGGTCAATTCGAATGAACATGTGTAAACGAAGCATGAGTTTGTGACTGTGAGTGTCTTTCATGTTAGACTAATAACACTTGATATCACGTATAGAATATGTAGTCGCACTCATCTCATGCCTCGGATAAATCATCCTGCACCTCAAGCCTCGGAATACAACCGCCCAACGTCGTCATCCCACATCGAGCAAGGGTTCAAGATCGGTATCGGAGCTTGTCCTCGAGAGATACCGGGCCTTGCACGCAACTTGCAGCTGCCAACGCTCGTGCTCTCGTGCCATATGCAATCATATTACCCTTCCCATTTGTGTATCTCTCTTTTACAGATAAAAACTACTCGTGGGTTTGACTAAAAAGGAACCCCACTCATAGAGTGGGCGGCAAAATTCTGGGACAAGGGCAAAATTCTGGGACAGCCGAATACCCCGCTCAGTCCGAATTTGCTTGATTTCACCACCAAAAACCCAACTTTTGAAAGACATTTCTAAGTATCATTCGGTCATATCTTGTATCTCAATTTGAATTTTCATCTAGACCGCCACTATGACTGATCTTTATCAACCCAACCCTGCCGTTGCGGCTGCACGTGCGATTTTGCTCTCACAACGCCGCCACCGCAACACTAAGGAAGGGAAACCTCTCACCGTGAGAGAAGCTGCGGATAGATTCAGCGCCTCCAAGAGCGCTGTTGGTCGTCATCTGAAGTCAA